GAGAAAATACAGGAAACTGAAAGCTGAAGCACAGGACCAAAAAGCATGAAAGCAGAAATTTGGAAAAAAAACACTCATAAAAAGAAAAAAGTGATTAATGATACTAAATTAGGAATAGGAAAAACTACAAGGGAGGGAAAAGAAAACATTGATTTTCTGGTGTTCTCATACCATGATCCTGCCTTCGGCCAGACTAATATATATTATATATATATATATATATATATATATATATATATATATATATATATATATACATAACCAATACTAGAAAAAGATTGGGAAAAATGCTGAAAAAAGATACTCAAGTAAACTTATATATTGTAAGAAGCAATATAGTAAAAATGTACAATATAGCAATTCGTAAATATTTCATTCTAGGAACGTTTCTAGTAAATGAGAATAATAAGTATATATATATATATATATATATATATATATATATATATACATAACCAATACTAGAAAAAGATTGGGAAAAATGCTGAAAAAAGATACTCAAGTAAACTTATATATTGTAAGAAGCAATATTGTAAAAATATACAATCTAGCAATTCGTAAATATTTCATTCTAGGAACGTTTATAGTAAATGAGAATAATAAGCTACACCTAAGAAGCAAAAATACATCTCAAAACAGTGAATAATATTTGTATTTTCCATACATCTAATTGATTTCTAATGGCAAGTCTACTGATTTCGCAATAAGATTAAAGAAGCATGATTATAAATGAACAGAAATATTTGCAAAGTATTGCCCGTTGATGAAGGACATTATGTAATTGATATTTATCTTGAGAAAACCATTTTCTGATTGAGTCGATGTAATGTTACTTAATCCATTGTATCTAACCTATACAGCGATTAGTGTACTAGACAATTAGGAAGCCTTCTGCGATAGTATCGTATATTGAATATTACCATACAACCTAAATGTTTTGACCCAGATACTTTACACTTCAACCTTGTATATATATATATATATATATATATATATATATATATCCGTTGTTTTTTAATTTGATTATAGAACGACTCCAAGATATGGAGAAGTAACTAGAATTTGTCTAGTAATGTAATAAATGAATCTCTTATTGAAATGAAGGCTTTGATAATGATCGAGTGTCTCATATACATTGATTTTCTTCGTATGTATCATTATAGATTTAAGTTCAATCCGCAAGGTTTAAGCTTAATAAATCATACAAGTCATAATTGCTACGACATTTCATATGAAATGTGGATTGGCATACTCATCATAAAAGGCAAATAAATACAAGAATCTAAATTATAATTATTTTTAGAATGATTTCAATATTACAACACGTGTACAATTAGACAGAATACTTTTTACATAACTGGAAAATTTAACTTTATCCCAATACTAATCCTTGCGTTTCTATAACGTGTTAAGTTAAACCACTGGTACTAATCTTCTACAAATCTTATCTCAGGTATTTTGACAATCCTTTAAGACGCGCAATTTTAAATACTAGAAAATTGCCTGGTTAAAAAGCATGGAATTTAAAATTTAAAGGGTTTCATTTAAATAACCAAGAAAATTATCATCAAGATTTTACAAAAGCTTGCGGAATTATCGGTTTTAAAAAAAATAACTATATTTTTTTATTTACTATTTGCATTGGTTGTGTTTTAATATAGCATCGGAGTATAAATAATTTTATTCTAACTTTACCAACGCATTTGCTTTTTATTTAGTACAAACAAGAATCTGATAATTGATTTTATAATTTACTAAAATGTTTGAAAACCTTTTCCATATTTTATTGACCGCCATAACAATTATTGTGGGTAAAACTACCTGCCGTAGTAATACCCAAAATATATATTGATACATTCAAAAACCAATATTATTGAATACCTGTGCTATTAAATCTCCTATTTTTATGGTATACATAGATTATCTGTGGAACTTTAACTATTTAAATTGTGCATTTAAATTCTTTTCCCTACAAAGGTCATACCAAAATTCTCTAATCTCTTGTAATAAGTTTACAACTATGCGTAATAATTGTGCATATTTCGGCTCATTTTGCAAACAAAATCCTTAGCGTAATATAATTTTATATATGTCAGGCTACGTTATTAAATAAAATCGAACGTAAAATCGTTAAATAAATATTACTATGTAAAGTTTTATGACAAGCGTGAACATCTGCATTGCAGACATAAAATATTTACAATACACTAGATCAAGTTTGATTGTTACTAGAATACGATAAAAGTTGCAGCCCCAGTGCAAGAAAAGTTCTCACTTATTTTTATAGTCGCATATACAATAAGTTTTAAATGTAAAATAAAACGATAAAAAACAAGAATACGGAGAAAGTACTTATTCGACAAAAGAACTGATAATTCGTTGTATTTAAATGCTCAAAATAAAAGCCGATTGTGCTCGTCAACGCCAGGGGAATCTTCTTTCTCTTCCGCGAAGCTTTTGCGCACCTAGTTCACCGCACGAAGACAAACCAGTTTCGTGTATCATAATAATAGTCAAGGTAAAACTTGTTCTCTATTGTTGTTTTCTTTGTCCTATGTAAACTTCATTGCACATACAAGTCCCATAAATGAAGAGTATTGTCGTAAATGCTTTTGATGTATTATGAACAGGCCGATGACCATTCTGAATGGAAGCTACTTTCAACTTGTTCTAAAGCGCTTTTGTTCTCATTCGTTTCCGCGAACATTTAATACAGGAATCTTATAAGTGCCACATTCTTTTTATACACTCTAAACTTGATAATGATAAAATTATTTCAGGTATTTTGGCCGAGTGTTTCAGATATCCTAGTTATCTATCAGATATCTATTGAATAAAGTTTGTCAATTTGGTAAAACTGGTTTGAAGTTCAAAACATTCATATTTATGACATACCGAAAGGGGTATGAAAAGGGTACAAACATATTTATATAATATGTAGAATAAAATGCATTTATTGATTCTCAGGAATTATTTAAACAATTTTAAAAGAGCACTATAAGAATACCTCATGGCTATTGTTCTCATAAAATTTATAAAACTTGAGTTCTTTATGTTAGGTATTTTTTAATTTGGTTATCCTAAACAATTACCCTATTACGGTCTTACTCACACTATTGTAAAACAAGAACCGAATAATATAGATGTCCTATAAGTACAATTAATTTGAATTAATTAAACATTTCAAGTTTACTTTACGGCCAACAAATTTTATTGTTACAAGTACATTAAATATTTTGTAAGTTTATCGAATAGAAACTATACGACCCAGTTTTGTATAACGAATAGCATAAGCCGCCAAGACCAAACAAGTGCGAATAAATAGAAACAAATAGTCATAATGCCACACGTCTATGTAGATTAGACATTTGCGAATTGCAAAACATTAGACCAGATTATGCGTCATAAATATAACAATTATATTTAGAATTGCACAAGGTATTGCAAACTAACATAACATCCGTATTTGGTATTAAGAATGAAAAATAAATTAATGAGTTGTCGTCAATATAATAAATAAATAATATTCAAAATTTCATAAATTATGTGGCCATATATTATGAAATAAAACATTATTATAGATCGATCAGTTTTGTATTTTTTTCTTGTTCATCATAATTTATATTAAATATTGTCACAGTCCCTATAAACGCGGAAACGCGACCAAAAAATTTAAATTATACAAAATGAATTTAAAACACAAAAACAAAGTATTGACGTCACTTATATCTGACGCATCGCATGAATAAAGCAAAAAAATAAGAGAATGCAAAAAAGATCTACGGCGTCAGCTGGCAGCGCGAGACAAAGAAATATCAAGTTACAACCAAGATCACAGGGATGACCATATATATAAATATTGGTATCACATATGCACCTGATAATATGTTTATTATCAAAATAAATGACTTAACATGTTTTTATGTTCATTGGTTGTTCAAAATACACAGAAAACAGACTGAAAACTTTGTTTTTGCAAGTTTTTATAATAGCTTAAGTTTTTTTCTCTAATCTTAAATTTCTAATATATTACTATTTAAAAAAATAATTTACAAACTGACTGTAAAAATATTATAATAATTTCGAAAATATTTACAGTAAAATAAAAAAAAAATATGGTTACGGTTTTTCAACATTGTCCTTAAGACTTTAAACATCAGGTGACTTTCGTCACACGATTCGATTATGCAGATGATTTCATCAAAGGTCGATTACTCCTTGAAGGAAGAATTAACAATGCTTTATATTCATTTCCCACAGTAGCAGACCATAGAGGAAAAATTTATTCCAGGGCGTCGTCGTGAGAATCTCAAGATGCCGCGATCTTAGCCACGAGATAGAAAGAATTTCCAGACCGGTCAAGCGAGCTGGGCGCAGTAACATTGAATATTTTCAATGCAAGTTTATTAATAAGACCTCTCTTATTACTTTCGGGGAACCAAAGAGTGAATTACCATATGGACTAACAGATGGTAAGAAAAATTTCCATTTCTACTTTATAATATGTATCTTGAAACGCAAAATTAATTCAAAGGTCGACCTTGATCAAAGAATTCCAAAGTTCGTTCGTGATTTTGTTGTTCGATTGCGAAGTTAAATTGTTTTTCTTCCGTGTTTTAATTTATTTCACAATTTGTTACGAACGCATTTAATTCCTTAACTTGTTTCCTGAACATTCAGGTTTATATCATAGGGATATTTTGTATTGACATAATATCCTTGTGTGCTTAGGGGCAGTGAACCCTTCGAATTTAAAAGTGAGTACATATTTCGTAATGCAGTGTGAGATAGATATCATGAATACATCAATTTATTGCTGAGTGGACTTGAATATCAATTATATACAATTTTCAACGTGTAAAGAAATAGCAAAAACCAAAAGTGCATGAGAAAGGTTACGACAAAAGTTGAATGACTTATTAATAATAATATATTTTGAGCAAGTTTCAACATTATTAATCGGTATTATAAAATATCTGAATCTAAAATTGATTGCTTACCTTGCAGACCATCTCTTGCTGCGTGTCCAGGTTAATGCACCTTCTAAGTGTACTGCCTTCTAGAGTTTCCAAAACCAAGAACCTTTCCGCAAGAATTAGTGGCGAAGACGATGAACAAGGGTTAACAATCGCGGTTGCCGAGACGCTCGGCTGAGCGTCGTCGGTCGGCGATCCTGGACTACCGACAGGAACCGCGGGTGCCGACCTTTCGCCTGCACCCAAGGCATCTGGTCGCGGCGTTCGCGATACAACTGCTACAGGCTGGACCGACTGAGCACGAGGCGCGTCTGGTTTAGTTGTCACTTGAATAACGCGCGGTTGACGTTCGACGCCTGGCGAATCTTCCATTATAATAAACGCGTCTTTACACTATTTAATTAATTAAACACCGATTTAACGTTTTGTCCTTAACATCAATTTATGGAAAACACCGTTGATACTAAATACGAACTACACATTCGCTACGGTATACCACACACCACAAAACTAATTACAGCGATGAGATTAAATGATATAACTATAAATATCACAGAAATTTTCTTAACTATTTGGTCCGTAATTCGAACATATGTGCCATGAAGATGAGTTCATGTATTTCAACTTCTGGTATCTGAAAATATAGAAGAAAACTAGTTATAAATTGAATTAACAGTTTGATCTAGATTTATAGAGTGAACCTTTGTTGTCGATGCAAGGGGGCATTGTACTATGTGTTCCCGTTGATAAGAAACGATGATATAGTATTTTATTTAGTGCTTGCAAGTACATTGCGAGACAGAACAATATGCATGAGCTAAAGTGCATTATTGTCTGGCGACTCTAAAAATATACAAAATCCTAAAAGTAGGGTAAATTGTATTTAAAAAAAAATATTTCAGCTAAACTATAATTAACAAACCATGCATACAATAAAAGTCTCGTAAATATTAGGCTATCATGAAATCACGATTAATTTTATAGCTCTTTGTTTTGACAAAAGTATGTTGCAGGTCACTATATCATGACATAAATCGATATTTTATTATAACTATATATTATATATATATATATATATATATATATTTAAGAACTAAATGAACGATAATAATTAACAATTTGCAGATTAAATAATTTTGTACATAAAACTTTGAACGTATATGCAATTCCAATGCTTAGCTATTTCAACACAAAGACTCTTTTAAATGTACTGATCAATTGGCTCTGTGCTAACTAATTTAAATATGTACACAATATATAGTTCTATAAATAATTACGTAAAAATACAACAAAATATCTCATGCATTCTACAAAATGATTCATTTTGTAGACTGACTAATTGCGGAGAATTTTGAAACATTTGGCTTCTAGTGAATGGTATTTATTTATCATCGCAAACACTCATCACAAGTACAAAAGATCATTCGACAAGTATTTTTAGAAAAAGTAATTAAATTAATCCTCAAGGATTTCAAGCAATTTTTTGAAAATATTTTAGATCAACAGATTCTGCAAATAATCTAGTTGTTTAAAACAGCTATTTAAATATAGATTTCAACACAAAAGTTTTGTGTAAAAATTATAATACAAAACAAATAGTGAAGATGTGCTTGAAACTATACTTACTGAGCCCTATAAGATATTATTTAACATGATAAAATCATAAATTAGTTTGTAAAACTCGTCAAAAAGCATTCAGGTAATATATTCAATGTCATGTGAACATATACGCAATCAAGCTTTAGAAAAGTATTGCGTCGTCAACAACAAAGCAATAGAATGGTTGGTCTTTACTAATCACTCATTTTGAAGTAATGTGTAAGTTTATATTGCACAAGGAATAACTTAATTGTTCGAAGCTTATTTCTAAATTTAGAGAACAAATGTGAGGCGCAATGTGGTTGAAAATATGTTTATATGATTAAGCCCCTTATTATTTTTAATAAAGTATATTGCGATTTGCGGATGCTATTTTAACGCGCCGTATAAAATTTACAAATATTTCCTAACTAAATTTAGGCGTACTATTTTTAGAATCTTATGACAATGAAATATGCTTATTTAACGAGCGAGTTGACTAAGCAGAAATCTGTCTAAAGATAGATTAAAGCATTACACAAAACCCCTCGAAAATCTACATGAAATTCTTATATTATATATTAATGACGTAGAAGGAAATATGCGCGTAACGGCGTAGCCGGTCTACGTCAGTCGGTAAAACTCTTACAAAACGTAGCAGTATAAAATCTGTTCATATAATGAAGAATGTGTATTTAACAAGTATAACTATGTTTGGCTACTGAGGCCATGAAAATCATATTCCACACGTAAGTGCCAAGTGATAAAAAAATATACCAATACAGAAGAAAAAACAAATACACCTAAACCGACTGTGATCAAAGTTATTCGATCTGCCTAAATATAAAAATTTCAGCCAAACGAACCTTCACAGCCAATGCCAGGCTCATGAAAACGTGTTTATAGAATATTTTATGCCAAAAGGAGTTCCAATTAAAAAGGCCTGGTCATTTAAATTGCGTAAACCATTCATGAACCGGTAATTCTAAATATCGTTTATTGCAGATCTTAAAAGAAACAAGAAGGTGGCAAGTTTACAAGTCAGAAGACTGACGTAAGGTCTTCGCGGAGTTTCGACATACACGGCCAAGGCCATAGGAAATTATTGAGAAATATTACAATACAGCACTGCTCTGGTACTGAATGACCACATAGTACCGGTAATTAAATGACGAGTTTCAAAACTCGAATTTATACAATAGAATTAATATTCATTTTAATAAAATATCGAATATAAAATTATATTTAGCACGTTAACCGCCACTATAATAAAAGAAAAAAATCACATGAGCCATGGTAACTATTAGATAATTTAGTTAAAAATATATTAAGGAAACTTATGGGCCGATTCTGACAAGTATGCCAAGTATTATTAATTTTTTTTTTAGTTTGAAACGTGGCCTTCTACTAAATCCGTATGTTAGACATATATATCTGACATGGCTTATGTAGAACTTCTTTGCGTCAGACAAATATGACTGACAAGACAATTAATGTGTTGCACAAAGAATTGGTTGATATTTTCAATAACATTTAAAATAAAAATTGCTACATTAATAATAGTTTGTTCCAATGTGAAATCGACCCAAAATGATAGATACCACAAAACTATTTTTTATGTCACACTGATGTGGCCCTATATTAAAACTGTTTTTTAGTGTAAAACGTGGCCTTCTAACAAATTTGTATGTCAGATTTATGGCTCATGTAAAACTTTTTAATGTCAGGCACATGTGACTGCCATGGCGAATAGCAAATAATTAGTTGATATTTTCAAAAATATTAAAACTAAAAATTGCTACCTTAATAATATTTTGTTCCAAGGTGGAATCGACCCAAAACGATACCACAAAACTATTTTTTATTTCACACATATATGACTGATGTGGCCCTATATTAAAACTGTTTTTTAGTGTAAAACGTGGCCTTCTAAAGAATTTGTATGTGAGATTTATGGCTCATGTAAAACTTTGTCAGGCACATGTGACTGCCATGGCGAATAACAAATAATTGGTTGATATTTTCAAAAATATTAAAACTAAAAATTGCTATCTTAATAATATTTTGTTCCAAGATGGAATCGACCCAAAATGATAGATACCACAAAACTATTTTTTATGTCACACATATACGACTGATGTGGCCCTATATTAAAACTGTTTTTTAGTGTAAAACGTGGCCTTTTGAAAAATTTGTATGTGATATTTATGGCTCATGTAAAACTTTTTAGTGTCAGGCACATGTGACTGCCATGGCGAATAACAAATAATTAGTTGATATTTTCAAAAAGAAATACAGGAAACTGAAAGCTGAAGCACAGGACCAAAAAGCATGAAAGCACAAATTTGGAAAAAACACTCATAAAAATGAAAAAAGTGATTAATGATAACAAATTAGGAATAGGAAAAACTACAAGGGAGGGAAAGAAAAACATTGATTTTCTGGTGTTCTCAATGATACCACAAAACTATTTTTTATTTCACACATATATGACTGATGTGGCCCTATATTAAAACTGTTTTTTAGTGTAAAACGTGGCCTTTTAAAAAATTTGTATGTGAGATTTATGGCTCATGTAAAACTTTGTCAGGCGCAGTGACTGACATGGCGAATAACAAATAATTGGTTAATATTTTCAAAAATATTAAAAATAAGAATTGCTACCTTAATAATATTTTGTTCTAAGGTGGAATCGACCCAAAATTATTGGCCATCGATTTAAGCTAATCCGGCTTCCTCAATTGGTGGCACAATTAACACTTCAAATCACTAATTTTCAAAACTCATTCAAATCACTGTAACAAATATTCCACACTGTGTGTATCCTTACAAAAATATCGCTCAACGAAGCAGACGGACAATTTCCTATTTGGGCCGGATACCGCCCGAGAACAAAATTTACATACGATACTCCGCACACAACACTGGCTCGCCGAGCTCCATTTTGATACTGTCGGTAAAAGCCGGAGAGCATTATCACACAACCTGCGAGCTACGCTATTACACGAACGTAGGCGTGGAGCAGCGACAGAGCATCGGAGCCGACACGAGTGCGAAGGAAAACGTGCGACCGGCACTCTGTATGTGTTAGCGATGGAATGGCCTCATGAAACTCATACAAGCGACCGGCACGGAGCAGGATAAGCTGCGTTTACATTCCAGACTTACAGAAGCTTCACCGAATAAATTTAAATTTACTTAGTAACTAACTACACCTAAGTCTGTTTATACACGGTTTTGATATAACACGGTTTGAAAATTGAATATTTTTAATTTTTTTACACGATTTTATTCCATTTAGCACGATTCGAAATTTTATGTACTTAAATTTTTTTGTCAAATTTAATTTTATCAAATGAAATTTTATGTACTTAAATTTTTTTTTGTCAAATTTAATTTTTGCGAAGTATGTTCATATCACAAAAAATACAGCGAATAACTGATGACGACAGCAATTAAATCTATGTTGTTGTATTTATGATCATCACTTATTCTATTTTATTTTATTTTTTACCTTAAAAATTGAATAACCTATTCTTTTCGTTCACAACATAGTTTTCTAGTTCCTGAACTTGCCATACATTTAATTTATATTACTTTTAATATTAGAGTGCATATCTTTTTTATCATTAATTACTATGCTTGTGAAAATAAGCATTATATTAGGTTGTCAAATATCTCCCTTCCGCTTTTTTGCTCTTGGTTTATAATACAAAAAGGCGGAAGGGAGATATTTGACAACCTTATTTGATTTAATAAAATAAACATGAATTATTGTTCTTAAAAATTCTTATTTTCACTAATTTTAATAGGTTTTAGAGATTAGGAACAAATCACCCATTTTTGTATAAGATCAATTTCTTTTTTTACACGTTTTTTTTTACACGGCTTCTTCTGGAACTAATCTACCGTGTAAAAACAGACTTAGGTGTATATGACGTTGGAGTTGATGAACAGAAATTAAAATTTTAACTTTTTTTATCTATAATTTAGTTTAATTTTTAATCGTTAAAAATATGTTTGACCGACTTATTCCAAAAATAAATCCTCTAGGTCAAAGATTTCAAGAAAACTAGGAAATTACTTTGATAGTATATATATATCGGATGGAGACTTTTTTAACACGTTAATTACCACGATAATATCTGACAACTTCACACAGGCCATTGTAACTTTATTAAATAAGTTAGTCAAAAGTTTATCAAAAAAAACTTTATGTATCAAAAAAAATTTTGCCAAAGATTCTGGTAAACACTATTTTATCGTGTCACGGATATGACTGACATGGTCCTATATTAAAACTTTTTTCTCAATGTATTGTAGTTGCGAATGTCAGACATGGCTCAGCGTCCAGCATATATGACTACTATTGCGATTAACGTGTTAATTACGAAAAAAACGGTTCTGCCTATCATCAGACGCTTAAACTTTAAAAACATTGAGAAAACAAAGCACACAAACTTACACTATTTATGACAAACAATATAGAAAGACAATCTTTTTTGCAAAGAAAATTATGCAATTGTTTGTGGAAATTTAAAATAAGCTTTTCTCCGAATTTCGGTAAATTTGTGTATTTTAAACAGTTTAAAATATATTTTGCACAACTACGAATACTCGATATTTATCACATTTAGCAGAATAATTTTCGTTTAAATGAATAATTTCGTATAAAAGTAACTGAATCTAGTGTTACAATCAGCATCTATACATGCAAGTACAAAATGCATGAATGCATTGAAAACGTATCATATTTTTATAATAAATATTACCTACTTTATAAATTGATTTTAAACCGTTCATTAATGAAATTCAGATAAAATTACACAACACTAATTTGAAAAGTTAATAAATGAATTTCAATAAATAATTATTTATTTTGAAATTGTAATAATATATTAATAATAAAAATTCGTAATAAATAAAAAAAAATAATAAAGATTTAAATTAATGAATTAAAGATTATCAACTATTGAAGCTTAATTCAAAATATAATTCAGATAAAATAATAATCTGAATATAAATCAAATTCAGATAAAATGATGTAATATTAATTTAAAATTTTAATAATTTAATTATTGCAATCATTATTGCTATTTATTTTAAAAATGTAATAATATAGTAATAATACAAAATCAATGCATAAATATTCGCAAACATAATTATAGTTTAATGTAAAAAGAAGATAAAAAAAATCTAAACTAAAATTTCACTGCAGAAAAAATCGACAATAGACGTAATTTTACATAAAAATATCTATCTACAGTAATTAATGTAAGTAATTCATGTATGCATTTAACCATCAAACTAAAATTAATCTTTGATTGAATAATCTTAACAGAAAATGGAAAATTTATAATATTAATTCCGAGTATCATTTTTATAACAAATATTTTGAGATAAACGAATGTGAGTGAACCTTTAAATCGGTAGAAGAATTCTTGAACGACGTGTGTACACGCGCATTTTATGAATGTATGGCTAACAAAGGTTGAGTAAGGTTGAGTTGAGTCAGCCTATATACAATCAAATGTTATAATTCGGAACTACGTTTGTTTATTTATAGAAAACAATTTTTTACATCTTGGTATTTTAAGCAAAAAGTCAATTTTATTAACGATCGAGAAATATCTGTAAACTCAATAAATAAATAGTGTAAATAAATTCGGCAAATTTGCAAAGAGATTAAAAACAAAATATAACGAATACTAATGAAAATTTTTAATAAAAAAAATGTTTGTAATTTTTCTATAGACTAGTTTATGTAATATTTTCTAAAATTTAAAACACCTGAATTTTGACAAAGTTAAAAATATAATAGGATTGATAAAGTTATAAATATCCAATAGGAAATAAAAATATTATGTTGAATAAAATATTTTAACAAGAGGTAAAATTGATTCCGTATGATTACGAGTGTGGTTTTTGGTTTAGTTAATTTAATTCTAGCAAAAAATGTATTATGTATTAATAACCAAATTATGCATTAATTGCAAGCGCTTTGATACTTAATAAGTTGTATAAAGAATACACAAATTTATTAAAAATTACATAAAATAAAATATACCTTAGATATTTCTTATTAGCTTCTTTATATTTTATTTGACTGTGTCATCCTTACAATTTTAAACTCGATGGCAACTAACACGGTCAAGAAATGTAGTTTAACTGACCAGGCAAAGTAAAACCAAAATCTATTAAATTGTTTGGCTACGCAAAGTATTGCAATAAAATGCGTAATGCAATATTGCGTAGTGTACCAACAAACTTAGTCACCTAAGGCTTATTTGATTGCGCAATATAAAGCAATAAGGAAACGATTGATCTAATATGATCTTTTTCGAATAGAAGATAAAAAGGATTCATGTTATTTCAAAATTTATGTTCTTTTGAGAATTACATTTTTTATTAAATTCACTGTTTTTTTTACCTACTTGTCCTACAAGCTAATTTGTTTGAAATTTTACTACTATGACACGAGAGGCAATCCAGCAATCATTGTTATGTGTGGCGATTATGATATATATATATATATATATATATATATATATATATATTATATATATATATTATATATATTATATATATATATATATATTATATATATATATTTAATTATTCAATAATCATGGGCGTATATTTCAGAATTGCCCCCGCAAGGCTATTTTCACTTATTTGAGATTTTTTATTTCAAGCGAAATTCTGGTATTATACTGCTTGATACCTGACCAAGGACGGGATCGAACCCAACAGAACTAAGAATTTATAGCCCACGTTTTTTACCACTACTCCACGACTCGAAATCTCAATCTTAAAGTATATGGAATGCTTTCAGGCCCCCTAAAAATTAGAATAAAAACCGAAGTAAAATCTTATTTCAAAATTTGATTGAAAAATATTAAATTTTTCATACTTCATACTCGTCACTTTTCAAAATTATTGATTTTACAATCTAGGGAATCTTATAACTGTTTTCTACAAATTGCCACGCGAGAAAAGATGATAACATCGCATTTAGCAAAGACACAAGCTTTTATAGCGCGTTAAAATGCAAATTGCGCCTTAAAATGCAAAACTACATGATGTACATATCTTTCAATAGAATAAGACCTCAATAGTCCTAATGTTATAATGAAGTTAATTTATATATTTATCATCAGTGTATTGTTTTCACTGTATTACTAATATCACAAATTTGAATGCTTAAAATTGTACTTTTGATTATAATGCTCCACATGACACGTGGGACATTTCGCAGAAATAAAATTTTAAAATATAATTAAAATTACGCAAAATGTTTATATTTATTTGATAAATTTCAACAAATTAATTGCAAAATTGTTGCAAATTATACATTTCGTTATCGCGTTGCTGACATTACATTTTTGAATTTGCCATTGACTTTGAAAGTCTAAAATAAAAAAAACGATTAATATTTTTTGAGGAATGGAAAAAAAGATAGTAAAATATAGTAATAAAGCCTTTTGACAGTAACTAAATTGTTTAATTAAATTTTGAATTTGAATTTATATTGTAATGTAGAATACCCACCACGCCAGACTTGTGGTGTTATATACTTTTAAATGCATTATTCAAATATTGTTTTTTATAATATATAGAAGTTTAAGTTTAAAATTTGGCCTTTATGATGAAACAGTTTGATGATTTGATTTCGTTTTTTATATTTTCTAATATATTAATTTCGTTTTTTTTATAAATTTTAATTTTACATGACGACTCTTCAAGAAATTTGGAAAACAGGATACCGCAGAGATTTGCTTCGAAATTCCACCTATATGGTATGACCTATAATGACTTACCAAATGCCATTGAATATTATTTATTTAATTTCATCAAAGTTCAGACTAAGCATAATATTATGTTTCCTTATCTGTGTTCACACAAGCGTATAGAATTGCAAAATTCGATGCAATTCAATACACTGATCTTCACAGGTGATCGAACTAATTAGTGACCTCAGATTAACAAA